GGGGGGGGGGTGTGTGTGTGTGTGTGTGTGTGTGTGGAGAGTCTGGCTGAAAGAAAAAAGAAATGGGGGAGGAGAAGGAGGGAGAACTTTGATTGTTATTGTCGTATGATGATGCAATCCACAGCTCTGAGACGCCTCCAGCAGCTCACTGGACCGACAGCCACTGGGCTCGCTGGATGAACGGGAACAGGACCAGTCGCTCCAGCAGCGCTCTGAAAGACACAACACAGAGGAGGAGGCGGGACAGTTACACCGACTGATCCCCTTTTGGTTCAAACTGTTGACATCGGCTATTTTGTACTTGCAGCAGAAAGCATTTCCCCACTCAAACAATGACTTATTGTGTGCAACACAGGCCCAACAAATGGATTGTGTTTGTTTACATGGAGACTCAACAGCACAGTTGGATAGCCTTGATTAATCAGACCCAGCATGGGCTCCAGTGCAGAGAGAGGCCTGCTGCCCACAGACGGGAGGCACCGCACCGCCGTGTGGATATAACTCCGTCGTTTGAGAGCCAACAAAGTCCACGACCCTACTGCTGCTGCAACGTGCTGTTTGCAGACCTGGCATTAACCCCTAACCCCGCTCTGGTGCTGTCTACTGCAGTGTGTCCGACACATCCTCAGTCGCAAATCAATTACTGCCTGTTAAAGAAGCCAGTCTAAGACCACTAATCCTAATCCCACTGAATGCTGCCAGACTGATGGAGAAGACAGAGCTAGACGAGAGCCTCACCTACAGATCTACAGATTTAATTCACAAATGTTAAGATTCTGAATCTTTGAAGAACTGTAATGCATTTGGATTCAACAGCTAATGTTTAAGACATACGGGCCTATATCATCTCTCGGGTGCTTTGTAAGACCAACGTGCACAGTTTTAATGTCAGTTATTTCATCATTACGGTGCTGACATCTTCAGCCCTTAGAGCATGTCTAATTACAGGAAAACAACGCGTTAGTTTGCTGTAGTCTGTCAGTTACACTCTACAAACAGGTACACTACACACAGCATGTTAAGGGAGAGAGACAGCGCCACAGGGAAAAGAGAAGGAGAGAAGGATGAGCGCCTACTTATTGCTAGGGTGCATTACGAGGGATTAATTACCACAAGTAGTCTTGATAAAGAGAAAAATACTTTTCTAATATACTTCCTCATGTTGGCATCTAGTTTTTAAAGCCAGATCTGCAATGCAATGTAGTTCTATAAATGATTATAAATTGGACTCAAATGTTCGTCATAACCGACAGGAGATGGTTAAATCTACAATCAAGATTTACTACGATTGAAGCGTACGGCCTACTCGATCTACTACACAGATGGACTGATAACATTGACAAACTTACTGAACTGTAGCGCTCGTGTGCATTCTGATTTGACAGCTGACAGCGAGGACTTTCCGTTCAAGGATAATAAAAAGGGTTTTCCTCTGAGGGGATATGTGGATCATAACGGAGAGGAAAGCCTCTCGCAGATGATTTTTATCTGCATGCAGAACAGTGAGCAGATGGGAGATTGACCCCTCTCAATTTGCCTGGGCCCCATAGATTATGAATATGGTTCATAAAGATCCTAACATTAATGCTTAATCCCACAGGAGGGAAATTTAACTCCAGCGAAGTAATCTTTCTTAATAACAAGGCAGAAGACTTTTTCATGTTAAATATAAACGATTAAACCTCTCATGTTTTCAATGGACAAAACATGGCCGACAAGATAAATGTGCAAGTTTGAGCTACAACATGACTAAGCATCCATGCATGAGGAAAACCCCCAGAGAGGGAATCAAAACTTTCTACGACAAAGGGGAGAAATGATGAATGTGATTTGCTTTAGTGCTCGGGGCCATGTCATGCTGGAGCTGGCTCATACAGTCAAGAGAACTTGGCAGCAGGCATGTTCTCCAACAAAGCTCAGGACCGACTTAACACGCATATATAAGAGATCCAGTGACTCCATTTAGAGGAATCTCTGTGTGTTCGCCAAAAGGTTAAAGCGCGAACCAAAGAGAGGAGAGGACAAAGCAACCTAAGGGGAGCATGAGAGCGCCCAACAGTCTGGTTACACCGCCATCGTCTCTCCTGCTCCAATATCCTTCCTTTCTACATTTACAATTCAGAAAGAGGTACATCTGGCATGAGATACTTCAGCACGCCAAAGCAAGCCTTTTTTCTGGTCTTGCTCCAAGCACCCCCGCTCTCCATTTTTCCCCTTCATCTCGCTGTGCAATGCGTGCTTTAAAGAATGATGGCACGTAACAGTCGACAAATGGGACCTTTTCTATTCTGCCTATGGGGCATTAATACTGCATATGTCCACATGGATGCTTGCACACACATGAGTGAATGTGAGAAGAGCCGTGAGGGCTAGCATGGGGGGGGGTTAGAATACAGAGCCAAAGACAAAATGAAAGGGGATGGGGGTGTACAGTAGGGGAGCTATATTTAGATCATCATCTGGGGACTAATAGCTTGTGCACTGGTGTTGAAATGCTAAAGGGACAGCAGAGCACTCGTGCATAGCCATATCGGCCACAGAGGGAACTAAACGAGCAGCGTTTTTGAGTCTCTATTGACACAAACACCCGAGTCTTTTTTATTCCTCTCCAACTGTCAAGGCGATCCATACCCAGACCTGCAGTATTTACACACAGATCCTATTATTTTGAACAGAAACAGTCATTTATTACCCGTCATGGGTTACTTCACAGTTGGAGGTTATGAGCCAGACATTCCAGGCGCAGCTGGTTCACATCATATGAGCAGAGCACAGGGTCGAGATGTGGCCCAACCATGCTTGAGTAAAATGCTATTTCATAGTTAAAAGTGGCTGCAACTATTTTAAAACTAGCATTTCTGTGAAGTGTTACCGCAAGAAAAGGCAAACAAAACCTACTAACTATTGGTTATTGATGTTTAAAGCCTTCAGAGGCAAGAGGGGGAAAAAAAAGGGCCACAATTTATGTAAATATTGACAGGAATGCTCAACACTCATGCTCCAAATATTTATACAAAGAAAGTACAAGGATGGAAAAGCTTGCTACAAAACCTGGACTAGACTGCTCATCTAGTGAGGGCCTTAACCTCTTCACCCATCAAGCTTACACATCTGCCTAAGTGTATCATTGGCTCTATACGTGCCAGTCGACTGAGCTGGAGCAAGCGCTTCTCAGCCTTAAATGTGTGACCTTCCTGTTAAATATGCTAAACCCCCCCTTCTACTGTTGGGTGGAGAGTCCATCAAATCCCGCTCGCTTTTGCACAGAGACTCACGTTAAGCTTTTATTCAGCATAAAGCTCCTGCATGCTATGAGGACCAGTCATCCGACTCTCTGAAAAGCATTTATGCAACTACTGTAAGTCCAGATCTGTGGCTGCATAGAGAGGGCACAGGTAGAAATGAGTTTAACACAAATATCAGGTAGGAACAGAACTGTAGCCTGATCAGACTAAATTGACATTTTAATAAAAGATGCCTAGATTACATTGTTGAATCTGATTCACGAGAGATGAGATGTGAAAGTTGCGGTGCCCGTGAGACTGATAGACAGAGATACTGCTTCTAATCCCGCTTGTATTTTATGGGTTGTAAATAGAACTTTCTGTCTTAATTCATTTTCCACACTGTAGCAACAGACGGACAGAAGGGAAACAACGGTGAAGCGAAGGGACAGTCAGCGTGAGAGATGCCTGTTGGAAGATTTGTATTAAATTAAGTTGGAAGAGAGTTGATTCGATATAAAACACAAATAAACTATTCTATTTCCTGACACGTCACCACGGGGCTTGTTCCTGCTTTGCTGCGGTCCTGCCCCAAAAAAAAGAGACGGCTCTGTTCTTCCTCTTTGGAAGTTTTGGCAGTACCGTTACCAGTTCACTACAACACCACCAAACCGACGTAACACCACAATTTCCATTACAAGTGACAGAAATCCACAAGTGCAGCGTTTTGTAGGAAAAGAGTGTTTTCAATGAAGACAACCATCAGAGCTTTGCCAAGAGCTGGAGACGGGGAACAATGTTTGAGGGAGGCCGCCGCCTCATAATTCTCCATGCAGGAAAAACCCCAGACTTCTTAAGATCTCAATTAATCATCAACACGTGTGAAATGGCTAAAAGTGTTAGGTCGCCAGAGTCAGATTATAAACACTGACACCAACCAATTAGCAAGCTCACAGTGCAATGACTGAACGAGCTGGGTAACATGTACCAAGTACGTAGAGCTGTTTCCTTAAAGAAGCTTTAGTCCACACCCCGTTTGTCTATATTAAAGGAATGGATATAAACTACCATGAGATGACGAAACATATAGCTGGTCTCTGGCTTTATTTACACCTGGCATTAGAATGCGTCTCCACATGTATGCGATCGGATCTCACTTCCCTGCACTATATGCAAATAAACACGTTTACCAAAGGCCAAATGCGTTGTCGTTTTTAACCCGCGGGAAGCCGCAATGCCCTTCTCATGCCTCGTCTGTCAGAAATTAAAACAGGAGAAGAAACCCAAACAATTCAGACTCACTCGTAGTATTTCTCTATGTGCTTTTTCAAAATGTCAGACGCTGTGGACAAAGCCACATGATCAGATCGCCCAAGACAAATGCTAATGCCAAATGTCAACGGGGTCTCTCTTTCAGGAAAATTGACAATTGCGTTTGGAGCACCTGGATTTCTTTTGTGTTAATCCTGAAAACATATTTTAAAGAATATAATATAGTTATTTTGGTGTGAAAATGCACCAGATCCAAGTATTTAGTGGTGAGCAATTTAAATAAAAACATTTACAATTTACAGGGCAAGGCTCCCCATATTAACATCTGACTATATCCA